AATGTAAATTGAAATTTCATCTTGGTTAATTATTATATTTGACAAAAAAATTTGAATTTCAAAAACAAAATGTTGTAAAAAAAATAAATATATATATTATGTTTAACATTTTTCAAAAATTTAAGAGACAGCTTATCAACGGTTAAAAAAAATTTCGCTAGTCAGTTAAGGGAGTTAAGGGAATGTTTGTTAAATAGACCATTTTAAAATAAAATTGATAGTTTATAAATTATTTTGAAAAAAAAAATATTTCTAAACTAAACTAAAATAAATCACATAATTAATAGACTATTTATTGAATTTAACTATTTATATCGTTAATAGGTGCATCTATTTCTATATTTTTAATTCATGTGAGAAATTAAGTTATTTAAATTTAAAATTATCAACACTTAATTAACCAATCATATTGTGAGTGTTAACGAGGAGGGAAAAAAAAAGAGCGGCGAGTATTGCTCTTAAAAATGTATACTTCCTTTGCTATATTGCTTATATTTTCTGTGGGTTTTTTTTGTTGGAGGTTAACTGTAGGAACGGAAATCAGCGTAAAGAATGACGACTCAGCTCCTAAGAAGAACGAGCATTATCCTCTCCTCTGCTTTCTCTGCTTCTCCCACTCCGATCCAGGCCACTCTCTTTCCCGGCGATGGCATCGGCTCTGAGATTGCTGAGTACGTTAAAACAGTCCTGTGTTGAATTTTTTTTTTTCTCAATAAGCAAAATAATGATGGGCTGTGGGTTGATTTCTAGCTGAAATTGGCTATTTTTTATTTTTTAAAAATAAAGAATCATATCAACTATCTAAATAATAATTATTTTATTAATCATTAATTAAATAAAAACTTTTTTTACAATTAAATTAAATTAAATTAATATTTTTAAATATAGCATTAATAAATTTGTGTAGCCACAAATACAATAAATTACCAGTGTAAGCCATAATTAACCATTTCTATGTAATAGAGTTCACGCTCAAAATCCAGTGGAGTTTTCTGAAAAAATGAAATACCAAAGGTACCCTTGGTAATTGACGTGGCATCACGTGATTGGTCCACCATTAAAATAAATAAAGAAATGTCGTATTAACTTTTCTGTGTTTGTCGTTTCTCTTCTTATTTTTTGGTGCCGGAAGCATAGCGGCAGCGACGGAGATCAGCGTGAAGAATGGCGACTCAGCTCTTGAGAAGGACGACCAAGATCCTCTCCTCTGCAAACCCTAACCCTCCTTCACCGCTAACTGTAGCCAGGGCTTTCTCCGCTGCTTCCACTCCGATCCGAGCCACTCTCTTCCCCGGCGATGGCATCGGTCCTGAGATTGCCGAGTCCATTAAAACGGTTCTTCTCTTTGTCTTTTTCTTCAATTCGTTGTTCTCTTTAGTTATTTTTCTGCATCGGATGCTTGATTGGAGCTTGATGTTGAGGGTTTTTTTTTTTTTTTTTTAAGCTCTTTTTGCGATTCTGTGGTGGTATGTTACTTGATTATGCTTGTTTTCATTGAAAATTCTTTCTAGGGATAGTAAATATGAATGGAATGGATGGAATTTTAGGTGTAACCGAGTGGAAAGTTCCCTCCTGGAA